CCTATCAGACTTACGAATAGGTGAACAATTTATGAATAAACAAGAGACAGAGAGTACTGGGAGGTATAAATGGATAATTTTGATTATATTAAATTAAAAACCTTTTGTGCAAATAAAACAAATGTAGCCCAGATCAGAAGGAAAGCAGAAAATTAGGGGAAAATCTATAGATGGTTTCTCAGATAAAGGTCTCATATCTCAAAAATAACTTTGTCAAATCTGTAAAAATAAGAGTCATTCCCCAAGTGATAAATGGTCAAAGGATATGAACAGGCAGTTTTTGGAGAAGAAATCAAAACAAGGTATAGTCATATGAAAAAATGTTCTAAATCTTTATTGATTAGAGAAATACAAATTAGAACAACCTTGAGATATCATTTTATACTTATCAGATTGGCTAAAAGAGTTGAAGGGGAAAGTAACAAATGTTGGAAGGGATGTGGAAAAATTGAGACCTTAATTCATTGGTGGTGGATCTGTGAGCTGATCCAACCTTTTTGGAGAGCAAAAATTGCCTATACCTTTTGACCTTGTAATATCACTACCCAGTCAATTTCAAAAGAAGATTAGGGAAAAAGGAAAAGAACCTATATGTTCTAAAATATTTATATAAGCTCTCCTTGTGGCAGCAAAGAACTGGAAATTATAAGGATACTCATCAACTGGGAAATGGTTGAACAAGTACTGATATGTGATCGTGATGGAATACTGCTGTGATATAAGAAATGATGAGTTCAGTGATCTTAGAAAGACATGGATAGACTTGCATGAAATAATGAAGAGCGAAACAAACAGAGCCAAAAGAATGTTACATACAGTAACAGCATTATTGTTTTAAGAACATCTTCGAGTGACTAAGTCATTTGGACTATTATAAATACCCAAATTCACTGCAAAGGACATATGAAGGAAGATATTTTCTGCATCCAGAGAAAGAATTCACAAATAGAAGTTTTTATAGAATGATTTCATATACATACATATATATGTGTGTGTGTGTATGTGTGTGTTTGTGTATATACATATATATGTATACACACACATATTTGTGTCTAATGGTAGCCATCTTTAGGACGGGGTAGGGAAGGGAAGAAAAAAAAACATGAAAATGTTTTTATATATTTAAAAGGAATAGTAAGTTGTATATCATTGAGTTGCAGTTTCACGTGCAATCATTTTTTTTTCTGTTCTATATTATGGAAATAATTGCTTTATTTTTTAAGTTCAGAATAAAATAAAATTTCTTAAAATCATTCAAAAATAAAGAAAAGAAAAAAGAAAAAGAAATAAAATATTATTAAAATTATTAAAATTAATTAAAATTATTTTTCTCATTACTTTTCCCTTCTTTTCTTTTCTGTCCCCCTTCCCTGCTTTGGAATCAGGCAATTTGTTTTGTTTGAGACAATTCTTTCTTTGGTATTGTCTTCCCTCTTTCAAGTTCCTCTCCCTATCCCATTTTCCTGTTGAGTTTGATATAATCCTACAGCAAATTTTTTGTGAGTATTCAACCATAATCTGTTTCAAAACCCTCCTCTATGTTTGTTTGCTCTTCCTCTCACAAATTCCAGTTATGAGAAACACGAAGTTCCATCCCATTTTTCCTCTGTTCCACACTGGTGAATTCCTTTTGTGCTCCCTTTGTTTTCTTTCCTCAAAACCCTCAGAACAGAACCAATCCACTCCCCAGGTGCTATTTTTCTTAACTATCTCCCTCAGTGCTCTCTGCATACCTTTGAGTTTCTCAAGGGATACTTGTTTCTCTATTAGGATTCTGGGGTTTGGTATGTGATGAGGGAATGCGAGTACTTCTGGTATGAAGGCTGTTAAGCCCTTTTCAAGGCTACTTTGCACCGTTAGTGTCCACCTGATTCGCTCAACTCTCACTTGTGGCTCCAGGAGGCTGTAGCATGTATAGCAGCCACATCCTGGTAAACTGTTTTGGCAGACAGGAATAATCAAGCTGAAGGTAACTGAGGGGTCTCAGATCCTTCAGTGAGTTAAGGGGCATCTATCCCAAGCATGTGAAGACTTCCTCTGATGGAATGGGTGGATGAGAACAATTTGTTCCGTGGCCAGAAAGGCAGCTAAAGCAGGTGCTGTGGGGCACTTATAGCTTGGTCAGACATCAAAGACCAATAGTCTTGACTTGTCTTGACACTGGACTTTGATGACTCTGGAAGAGAGTGTGAGGCCGACTTCTCACAACTCTGCCTCAATTTATGCATGAATTAAAATACATCACCCATTTTATTTTTACCTATCTCAAAGTCCTGCAAAGACATCCAAATGATGAAGCAGCAGGTGCAGCTACATTGGGAGCTGTAGTCACAACCCCACACATAAGTGGCCCAGGTCATAGGGTTGTCTTTTTACTGCACTGAAGTGGTATTTGGCAGCCCCCTGCGTATCTAAACAGCCTTTTTAAAGGACCCCACTGCTCATCTGCTGGTGTGAGGAAAGGGCCAGAAAAGGTACCTTAAAAATAGTCTTCTTCACCCAACCCTGGCCTGCTTACTGTGGCAGGTGGGGGATCCCACTCTGCGTCAAAACACCAAAAAAGGACAAAAAGTTTTGCAAAGATGATTCCATTCACCATTGGTACATGGATTGTGCACACATTTATAAGACAACACAAAATGTAGTAGACCTGAAAAAATGAATAGCTCTTGTTGCAAGAAAATTCAGCAGATAATTGCGTCCAAATAGCAGTTCTGAGTGAAACAAGGCTGGCAAATGAAAGCCAACTTTCCAAGGTCAGAGCTGGATATGTATGTTTCTAGAGTGGCTGCAGCGAAAGGAAGTGCCATGAAGCTGGTATATATGTATACCTACATATATATGCACATGGAATCCCTATTCCATAATCTAATTATAATTTCATAATCCAATTCATATGCTGTTCCCAGGTAGGAGGAGAAGGAAAAGGTTCAAGTACCAAATTCTTGATAAAACTGCTTAGCACCTCCTACAGTATTTAGTCTTCATTTGCATCAGGTTATTCCTAGTAACACAACTCAAGGAATCAAAGGATTTTTTTCTTCCATACTTCACTCCTAAATTAGGTTCTATGTTTAGATTACCAACAAATCCCACACTCAGGGATCTGAGACCAAATAATGAATCTAATCCCTGCATAACTGGCCTCGGTAATATGCTCAACAAGTAGTCATCCAGTCTCTTCTGCCTTGAAGACTATTAGTGAAGTGCAGCCCACTCCCTTCCGAGGCAGTCTATTCTACTTTGGGATAACTCTATTTGTTAGAAAGTTTTTTCCCTTGAACTAGCCAAAATTTGTCTCTTTGTAACTCCTACCCAATTGTTCCTAGTTTTTGCAGCTAGAGTAAAGCAGAATGAATCTTAACCCTCTTCCATGTAGAATCTCTTCAAATATATAAAAATAACTAAAATCTCCCTATCTCCCACCCTACCAGTCTTCACTTCTCCAGGGTAAACTTCACTAGTTCTATCAGTCAAACGTTAAATGGCATGATCTCAAATCTCTCACCAATATCCTCTGGACACTCACCAGTTTATGACTTTAAAATGTGGCATCCAGACCAGACACAACATATGGAGTCTCACTGGAGCAGAATCCAGTGAGGCTATCACTTCTCTAGTCCAGCCTTGGAAACATTCAGTCCTTCCTCACTGTACTTTTAATTAATTCTATTCAAGGTAAAAGTTGCCCCATAGGCATCTAAACCAGAATCTAAATCTTTTTATTCAAAATGGAGAAAAGTAGATTAGATATTAACGTAAATTTCTAGCTATTTGAATAAGCTTATTCAAACAGAGTAGCTCAGTGACTATCAGATCTCTACTATTATGTTGGAGGGTATATCTTTTTTTATTTTTAGGAAATGGAGTTAAGTGACTTGCCCACAGTCATACAGCTAGTAGCACCAAGTATTTGGTCTGAGGCCAGATTTGAACTCAGGTCCTCCTGACTTCAGGGTTAGTGCTCTATCCACTGCAGCACTTAGTTGCCCCTGGAGTCTATATCTTTAACATTAAAATTTTGAGCATGTTTATCAGTAACTTAGAGGAAGACATCAAAATCATGCTTATCAAAATTGTGATTGACACAGAAGTAGGAGGTATAATTAATATACTAGCTGACAAAACAAAGATTTAAAAATATCTAGGGTGGAACAATTGGTTGAAATGAAAAAGAAATTTAATAGAGATGAATTCAAAATTTCACATATGGGTTCAAAAAGATAAGCTACATGAATGAAGGATAGGAAAACTGACTTGACTGACGGATCACTGTGAATCGGATCAACAGTGTGACCACAATTACAAAAAAAAATGTTATTAGATTGCACTTATTTAAATATAGTATCCATTAAGAAATGATAGCATTAAAGAAAGCATGCCTTCCAGGAATAAGAAAGTATAGTCATCTTGTACTTCCTGGCTCACATTTTAAGAGTTATTGATGAAGGCATCAATCATCCTCTGGATGATAACAATTATAGCAAAGTGTATGAAAACCTTGTTGGAATGGGTGTTGTATTGCCTGTAAGAGAGAATACTTAGAGGGAATATAGTAGCTGTTTTCAAATATTGGAAGAACTGTCATGTTAAAAAAAAGGTTAGTGTTCATCCACGTAGTTACAGAAGTTTGAAGTAGGACCAAAGAGTGGAAATTAGAAGGAAGAAGATTTAGGTTCAATATGAGAAATTTTGAGGAATTAGAGTAGTCCAAAAGAGAAATGAGAAGTCTGGTGAAGCCATTCCCTTATCACTACTATGAATGTTTATGAAGAGGCTGAATGATGTGTCAGAGAGGTTGTGGAGATTTCTGCATTGTTTGGGAAGTAATTTTTTAGCCGTTTTCAACTCTATGATTCTAAAATTAGAAACAATTAAGAATCTTGACTCTTTTGATAACATATAATTGTTTCCCCTTTCTAAGATGCCACAGACATTAAACAATTAAAAATTCAATTAAGTTTTTATTTTTCTGAGTGTTCAATTATCCCAATGCTTACCTGTCTTTCTGTTCCATCATTTTGTCTTTTGGTATAGTTCTGTAATTGCTTTGACTGACTTCTTTTGAAGGGTGAACTGTAGAAAAAGACAGTAAAATAATTTTTAGAAATAGACTGATGTACAATCATTAGCAAATCACTTAACTACCTTTTGCCTCAGTTTCCTTATGTGTAAAATGGGAATGATATCTGTAGTGCCTATCTTATAGAACTGTTGTAGAGATTAAATGAGATATTAATTTATTTCCATATTTTAAGTAGTTCAAATTTTAAGGAGAGGTAGTAGATTGGATAGAATGGCAGTCTTGAGAACAGGAAGGCTTCTGTTCAAGTTTTGCATCTAACCTAAACGTTATGTGACTACAGATAGTCTCAGTGCTCCAAACAAGACTCTAAGACTTTAAGATGCAGAGAAGGTGTTGATCTGAATTCATAATAGAAGTTTCTTCACCTAGGATTTCCCTATATATGTCCAGGATACAACATTTTATATAAATGTTAGCTGTTATTGTTCCGCATTCACTTCCTGTCTTTCCCTTCTAGCTCTTAATTGTCTCTAATATTGTGTTGAGGTAATATAAAATCAATTATCTACTATATTTATTTAATAGAGTTCCATGTTTCCTATTGTTAATTTAAAAAAAACCACATAACTGAGTGGAATATATCTATTCATTGAATGTTAAGACCTGGAAGGGATCTTAGACACTATTTAATCCAACTCTAACTGGGTCCCATTTAATATTTCCCATTTTCTAAAACATTATTTTTTTAAAATCACAGACACAACTTAAATCAATTTTACTTGTATAATCTCTGATTCTCACCTCACCCTCACTTTACCCAACATTCTAACTTGGGATTAAAAGAGTAAGAGAAAACACATAGTTAGGCATTCACATACACACAAAACTTTTGATTTATTAATTAAAAAAACAGACAAATAGAAGGAACTATGTAATAACTTTTCATTATGTCTTTACCTTTCTCCTGAGTGCTGGATATCTGAAGCAAGTTGGTGAAATCTTTTGATTTAGACAGCAGTTCTTGGTAAGTTCCCATTTGTGCTACCTTGCCACTTTCCATTACAAGTATAAGATCTGTCTGAGGCAGAATTGTAAGGTTGTGTGTCACTAAAACACGAGTCTGAAATACAAAATATTTCATTTCTTAGTAAATGAGCTTAATTTGCATGAATAATACAATTTTATTAAAGATTCAATTAATCAATGTATCAGTGGGTCCTCCTCGGTTGTGGTGTTTAAGATAAAACCTATATTTCAAGATGAATTACTAAGTATTGCAGTAAAAATAAGTTGAATTGGTGAGTAAGTGAATGATAACACCTTGTCTCCAATTGTCATTTGGTCATTGGATTTGAATCCATCTTAAAACTAAAATATATGTATTTTACATTCTTATTAATTTACACATGTAATATAGTATGGTATCTACTGTTACTTTGAAAACTCATGTTTCTTCATTAAAATGTCAGCGACTATAGTTCTCCAAGTATTACAGTCATTAGAAATTTTTATTGAGTTTTATTATTTCAAATCCTTTCTGATGTTATTTCAAACTTGAAAATACTTTTGAATAAGAAATATTTGCCTCAGATTTATCTCATAAAAGCACTTTGTGTGAATATACTAGAAGTGATTTATTGTGGCCATGGATAAGAATTTCACAAGATAATTTCACACAGATGGATGTTTCAATCTGCATCACTCAAGGGAGATTATGGATCTGTTAAAATATCAACATATATTTTATATTAGTTCTATACATTTATTTTACTTTCAGAATCCTACACATTATCAAATACATGCACAAACACCTATACACACAGTTCATCTTGAAAAAATGCATTTTAGTATAATTTTTCTATAATAGCGTAATTTTTAAGAGGCATTGGAGTTAAGTGACTTGCCAAGAATCACAATTAGTAAGGGTCTGAGGCCAAATTTGAACTCAGTTTCTCCTGACACCACAGCCAGTGCTCTACCTATTGTACCATGCAGCTGCCTCAAATAGTATAAATTTAAAGACATTTAATAAGCTATATAATCACCTTTGTATCTTCTTTAAACATCTCTCTGAAAGCAATAATATAAGTAGCCAGGTTTCTGTGAAGATTCTATGTTTTGATCTATTATAAGATGAAGGAATATAAATCCTTACCCTTGGAATGTGTGGCTTTTCTGGCTGCTGCTCTTTTCCTCCCACAAGGTATGACCTACTCTACTATCACTGACATCTACTAAACCCCAAGAGAGAGATATCTTTGCATGTAGGGTGAAGAAAACAATGGAAGAGCTAGTGGGATCTGATAAAATGGTACAGCTTTATCATAAGACAGACATTGGTGTTTGCAGCTCTTCGGTGAAAAGACCCAGATCCATTCTTGTTCCATTATGGGAGGTTTGTAGAAATAGGGAATCACTATTAATAAGACTGTCTTTCATACAGCTCCTCAGTCCTCTTTCCACACTGGCAATTCTGATGGTCTCTGTCTCTAACATGCCAGTTACTTCTTTAAGCAACTGTTCACAAAATCAAACAAATAAAATTATAATTGATAGAATCGTTATCTAAGCCAGTCATGGTACTAATTAAAACAACAAAAAAAAGCAAATGAATTTAAAGAACAAGAAAACTTTGGAATCAACCTTCTGTGACAGAGAGAGGGAGATGAGAGACAAATGTTTCATTGTCTCTGTTCGCCATGGTCAGGCCTGCCTTGCATTTCAAGCTCCAGAACTTCATAGGAGGGATCTCCTTAGGAAGCCAGGCTGTAACCTCTAAGCCCATGTAGTTCCTTTCTATCACAGACTCTCAAACCACCATCACTCAAGCAACCTTGTAATTCCCTTCACTCAAATCCTCAAATCAAAAGGGAAACATTAATGGGAACTGTCCACACTGCCCCATCTAAGCTCAGTTCACATCTGGCCCTCACCCCCACCCCACTTCAGGATGAGAAAAAAAGCACTTTCCCAGGTCTCTCTGATTCCAGAAAATTATACATACAGGTACTCAAGGCCTTACTTCTGCCATAGAAACTGATCTCCAATGTCCTTTCATGGATAAATCATCATTATGGTGAACTAAATGAAACTTTCCAAATTATTTATTAAAAGTTGCCATTAGAAGATCACTCTTCCTCCTCTATTTTTCTTATGAAACTTCAAACCATAAAAAGTACATTTACTATAATAAAACAAATTTGCTGAGGAATATAAGTGAGTGAAGATGTTATTACTATGCTAGTTAAAGCAGGAAACCCTTCCCCATTCCCTCTGACAGATTGGTTTGGAATCCTAATTCTTGAACCTCCTTCCTTGGGACCTATTGACATGAAGGAGTTTGATTCCTGTACTATGCTTCTCTGTCCTAAGTCACCCAATCTAAGAAAACAATGCTTTAGTGCTATTAACATTAATCCCCCCACCCTGAGAGGTGGGGGCCAAGCATATAGCAGTAGGTTCTTAGTATGGAATTGAAATTTACTCTGTTTTAGACACACTCACATTGTCTGAGAAAACAAGAACCGCCAAGTTCACCTACTCTCTATCTCAAAAGCCCTCTATTATCTCCAGTCTTTGAGAAAGAGAAAGGTCTTTCTCCTGGCCTAAGATAACAAATTTCTAGTTGCCAACCCCTTTTGGAGCTGGGAGCCTGTCAAATACTCTCTGTCTCTCTGTCTCTTTTTATCTCTCTGTACTTTTTCAACAGCTGAAATGCTGCCCTTCTATATGAGGCCTTTATTGATTAGAACCCCTCCAATCCCACCTTCCCCATCTTTGCCCCCCAGAACCTTTCCACCAAATTTATTTACACCTTTTATCTTCTGAGTGTGTCAAAAATCTTCACTGGCTACTACTGTCTATACAAATAAAATATAAACTCAGCCTGGCATTTAAAGTTCTTCACAATATGGCTCCTAGATATTTTTTTCAGACATCACATAACTCCCTTTTACAAATTAAAATTTCCAACACATTGCAGAAGCAACTGTTCCTCCAACTTGGCAATCTATTACCCACTTTTTTTTTAAGAACTTTCTCTCATCCTTAGACTGCACCTACTTACCTTTACTTCTTAGAATTAATTTCTTTCAAAGTTTAGCCAAGGTACCACTTCCTAATTTTAATTTTCTCCAATTTAAAGTTACTTTTTTATTTATTTTGTGCACATGTTGTAACACCCCTATCCTCAGCAAAATAAACACCTTGAGAGCAAGGATTCTTTTGTCTTTGTCTTTGAAGCCCTGCTGCCTAGAATAATGTTGAGTTACTCAAAAAGGTCTCTCATAGGGCAAAAGAAACAAGGTGTGTTCTTGCCATGTATACCTTGTTTTTCAAAAGTCCTGAGGATCCTATCACTTTTTCAAAAAGATGCTTCCCAACATGGACATCAACTGCAGATAAGGGATCGTCAAGGAGGTAGACATCAGCACCGCTGTAAACAGCCCTAGCCAGGCTTACACGTTGTTTCTGACCTCCGCTTATATTCACACCCTGTAAGGGAAATGAAGAAAAAGCAAGAGTAGGTTAGATTTTCACTAAAATCCAAATCATATGTACTTAACTCAGAAGAGTAATGTTAAAGAAAAAGGATCTATATGTACAAAAACATTTGTAGCAGCTCCTTTTGTGGTGTCAAAGAATTGGAATTTGAGGGAATGTCCATCAATTGGGAAATAGCTGACAACCTGTGGCATATGATTGTGATGGAATACTATTGTGCTATAAGAAATGACAAGCAGGCAGATTTCATAAAAAAACTGGAAAGACTCACATGAACTGATGCAAAGCAAAATGAGCAGAAGCAGGAGAACATTGCACATAGTAATAGCAATATTGTATGATGATTAACTGTGAGTAACTTAGCTCTTCTCAGCAGTACAATGATCCAAGACAGTTCCAAAGGACTTGTATTGAAAAATGCTATCTACCTTCAGAGAAAGAACTGATGGAATCTGAATGTATATTAAAGTACACTTTTTAAACTTTCATTAATATTCTTCTTTGTGTTTTAGTTTGCATTTTCTTTTTCAACATGGTTAATACAGAAGTGTTTTACATAACTGTACATGTATAATCTGTATCAAATTGCTTGCTTTCTCAAGGAAGGGGGAGGAGGGAGGAGGGAGAGAATTTGGTATTCAAAATTTTAAAAAATGAATGTTAAAAAATCTGTGTTTACATGTAATCGAGATAAAATTCAAATTGCGTAAGAATAATGTTAACAATGATAATTCATATTTATATACCACTTTCAGATATATAAAATTCTATCTTCACAATAAGAATTAGCTAGTTTGAGAATTACCACTTCCATTTGGTAGTTGAGAAAGCTAAATCTCAGAGGAGTTAAAGAGATTTCTTCAACATCACTCACCTAATAAATGTTAGAATCAGGATTTTATTATTTATGGAAGCATGGGATAAAGTTTTAAAATAATCCCCAACCTTAGTCTTATCCAAGAATTTTAATGTCCTCTTGTTACTACCAAATATTTTTCCAGAGCTGGCACAATGACTAATGATTGATTGATTGATTGATTTAAAAAATAACAGGACAAACTATATTATCTTACTCAGGCTAGCAGTATGGGGACTACTCAAAAGTTGACCTCACTTTGATTGGCACTGGAGTTTGACCTCCTCTGCTTCCTTCCTGGGAATTTTGTCCCTTCTAAGGAAACCTAGTAGCTCTCCATTTTGAGGAGTTCACCACATTAATGCCAAACAGTGCAGATACCTGATTGGCAGAGCCCACTGAGATTAATAACTTGAGCTCAAGAGATTTGCCAGCCTCCACTTCCCTGGTAGCTGAGATTACAGCTGTGTACCACCATGCAGGCAACATGATTGACATCCCATTTCTTTTTGTTTTATTTTAAATTATTTTTATTTATTTCATCAAATAGTTTCCAATTGCATGTAAAAAATTAAGTTGATACATTTCTAAAGGTCTGTCCATGTCAGTTCCTTACTCAGTAAATTCCAGGTGGTTCCCTATTACATCTCTAATCATATAAAAACTCCTCTATTTCACATTAAAAACCCTTTGCAACCCGTCCCCATTCTACTTTACTTCATCTTTTTAATTTTTAATAGTATTTAATTTTTTTCTAATTGCATGTAAAGACAAATTTTGACATTCATTTAAAAATTTCAAGTTCCAAAGTTTCTCCCTCACTTCCCCTTCCTAAAACAGTTATTGGTTTGATATAAGTTATATACGTACAATTATGTAAAACATATTTCCATATTAGTCATGTTGTGAAAGAAGAAGCAGACTAAAAGGAAAAAAAACATGAAAAAAATAAAATAAAAACAGTATGCTTCAATTTGCATTCAGATTCCTTCAGTTCTTTCTCTGGATGTGAATAGCATTTTCCCTCATGAGTCCTTTGGAATTATATGGGATCATTGTATTGCTGGGAATAGCTAAGTCATTCATAGTTGGTGATTATACAATGTTATTGTTACTGTGTACAATGTTCTCCTGGTTCTGCTCACTTCATTCAGCATCAGTTCATATAAGTCTTTCCAGGTTTTTCCAAAGTCTGCCTGCTCATCATTTCTTATAGCACAATAGTATTCCATTACATTCACATACTACAACTTGTTTAGGCATTCCCCAGTTGATGCACTGGGGCTCATGGAAGAGGACTTGGTGCTGTGCTGGGGCCCTGGGGTGGATGGAAAGCCACTAATTTGGTGCTGTGCCAAGACCAATGGGGAGTGGGGTGGGGTGTGAAGCTGGATGCCCAACTGCTGTGCACCCGGCCACGGGGTCTCGGTCACAGACTTGTGCTGGGCTCAGGGCCTCCCCCTGGCTTGCTCGGATACTTCCTGCCCTGAGCAACAGTTCTCTTTTACCCGAGTGAGGCAGATCTTTCCTGATGGCCTTACGAGTTGTCTGGGGCTGGAAAATTGTTTTATCCCATATTTTTGTTGGTTCTGCTTTTCCCGAATTCATTTTTAGGTGCTATTTTATAGTTGTTAGAGGTGAATTTGGGGCAGTTCAGGTGATTTCCTGTTTACTCTGCCCTTGTAGCTCCCAGAATTCCAACACTCCATTTCTTTATTCCTACTTACTCTAAGGAAAAGGATTTACTGAGTAGGATCGTAGATTTGGAGCTAGGAGGTACCTAATAGGTCATCATATCCAAGCTCCTTATTCTAAAAATGAGACCTAGAGGATGATGCCCGAGCTTACAAGGTAATTGACAAAGCTATGATTTCAACTCAGCTCTCCAAAGCCAGCTCCCTTTTCTACTGTACTGTGGGAAAAAGACAGTAGCTTATAAATGAGGGACTAAATAAAATTGACTAAATAGAAAATTTAGCAAGAACTTTGGCTGCCAATTATAGGTTATCACTACTATAGCTATTTGTAAATTAATATGTACTTCCAGAAAGTAGAAAAGGGAAATTACTAATAATAAGCTAATAATAGATCATATTTCTATAACCCTTTAAGTTTTACAAAGAACTTTTCTCACAACAACCCAAATATTATTGAAGTAGTATATTATTATTATATTTTTAAATAAGGGTAAATGGGGCCTTGGAGATGGTTGGCCCAGAATAATATAACATCTTGATGGAGTCAAGCCTTGAAAACAGAGGCCTTTTAAGTTTAGGACTCTCTAAACAGTATCTTCTCTCTTAATTTGGAATATAATTAATGCTATTTAAGAATTAAAGCTAACACATATATACATACACACACATGTATCCATGAGTGCAGTGTTCATAGTTTGAGTGCTACTCTCCCGTCAGGTATGTGAACAATACCCTGGACATGGTGATGTTATCCAAGCCCTGGCTCTGTGCAGTTAGAAACTCAGAGGTGAACAAAACTATGATTTGACTGTGGGATAGGAAATAGTGGCTGCACTGTTGAATCGGAATAGAATTCTTATGTAATGACTTATTTATCACCATCATTTTCCTCCAAATCTGGAATGCTTATTATAAAACTTACAGTATACGTTTCAGGTCATCATGAGTCTGGAACTTTTTTTGGCCCTTAACTACATAATGATCATTTCTTCTATCACACTAATACATTGTGAATTGTTTTCATTTTTTAATTCAATACTTGTATAGATCTTTGAGACAATCTCATGAAAATTTTTGCTAGCACAACTGAACAGAACTTTACTACTGTGTATTGATGGAATATATTCTTACTCTTTCTCCAATTTCAGTTTGGTCTCCATTGGGGAATTGCTCCAAATCTGGTAGCAGAGCACAAGCTTCCAGTACTCGTTCATAGTACTGCTTCTGCAAAACTGAGCCAAAGACAATGTTTTCTTGTAATTTGGAATTCTGGATCCAGGCCTGCTGGGAGACATAAGCCACTGAGCCCTAAACGAAAGAAAAAGAAAAAAGACAGTCTTTTTAAGGCAAGTGGAAGTATTAGAAAATATATTTAAGTAATATATTTAATTTGTGGTTTTTCCTATTTACTTTCTCATTTAGCTCTTAAAATTGAAATCGTTGCAAAAATGATTTTTCTTAACTGTAAGATAGCTAATGTTACAACAGTTATGAAATAGATTCAGGTTTGCTCAATGGCTCCTTCATTTTGTCTTTCACATTCACCTTCAACTAAGTCTCTGTAAGGAATTATATGTGCTCCTGGTTTTGTTTGGTTGGTTTGCTTTTGGTCACAATTGCTTCTACAAATTGGCTCCTAATATTACAGGGACCCATTGCACAAACAAGAGCAGCCAGGTGGCACAATGGGTAGAGCTCTGGGCCTCAAATCACGAAGACTCATCTGCCGGGGTTAAAACCCAGATTTAGGCATTTAGTAGCTGTGTGACTCTGAGCAAGTCACTTAACTCTGTTTGCCTCAATTTCCTCATCTGTAAAATGAACTGGAAAAGAAAATGGCAAGCCACTACATTATCTTTGCTAAGAAAACTCTAAACAAGGTCACAAAGAGTTGGACATAACTTAACATCATAACCAATAATGCACAATATTTTTACATGTTACCTTTTCTTTGTAGAATACAAATCTTTCTCTCTACAAATTAGGAGATACTTAATATTTTGTCCTATACCTCTGAAACCACCTTTGTAGTTTCTTGTATTAATTTATTTAACAACCATTTTAGAAAAATTCCAGGAAAGATAAGTTACTTTCTGACTGTCATACATACATAATGCACACACACATGTATATATATGTATGTATGTGATGTATATTCTACATAATATATGTATATATGTAATTATTATGGTATGTTTCTTTATACCAGAATTTTAAAACATTATAGTTAAAGATACTCTAGGCTTTACAAATACTATATTTGTAGAAATCCACCTGAATAGCATACGTGGATAGGTAGGCATGCATTAAAAAGGCTCCAATGGAAACTATGCAAACAACCCAAATCTATATTATGAAGAAAGAAAAGCAAAACTAGTATCAGGGAGATGGATTGAGAAAACAAGGAGAGATACAGAAATTGGAATTAAAGATAAGAGAAAAAAAATTATTCCTGTATAAAGTTTGATTAGAAATAAGCAAATACAAACTAGTTATAAATGTGATTAAGTGCAGAAATAGGCTACCAAGGGACATCGGGTAATTCCCATTCAAAAAGAACTCTTCAAGAGTACACATAATAATTTATGGATTCATCTACCTGTGGTCATGTAGTTGAGTCATATCTTATAAGTGAGCAGTTACAAAGTCACTTTATAAAGAAATGACCATAATTATTTAAGGAATCTTGGAATAGATGATTATTAGAAGTCTAATGAAATTAAATTCCTAATTTTATTACTTTCAATATAAGTACATGCAAATCAGTTAAGCATCATAAATGATTACTAAATATATTATACAAGTGTTTTTTTTTTCAAAGCACCCGGTTGACAGAATGATATATTGCATGTTTACTCATGGTTAATCAATTTTTAAAAAAATAACAATACATAAAATATTTGAATCTTTAATGAGGAAACCCAGAAAGAATAAATAATTGACTTTACTTTTCTTTGGACTGTTCCTTTAAGTTTCTCCATTTCTCCCAGAATGGCAGAGAGCACAGATGATTTTCCTGACCCAACTTGTCCTATAATTGCAACTAATGCTCCTTCTGGAATCTTTATGTTCAAGCTAAAAAAAAAAAAGGTGAGTAACAACATATCAACAACAGTCAATCTTTATTACTCCTTTATACTGTCAGAACAGTTAGTATTTCCAGAGATGAGAATCATTCCTTTTTTTTTTGTTTTTGGTTAGGCAATGGGGGTTAAGTGACTTGCCCAGGGTTGCACAGCTAGTAAGTGTTATGTGTCTGAGGCCAGATTTGAACTCAGGTCCTCCTGAATCCAAGGCCAGTGTTCTATCTACCACATCACCTAGCTACCCCGAGAATCATTATTTTGATTGTAACTATTGACCCCCTATTTATCAAAGTTCAATCCTCCCAAACAAAGAAAACAGAGCAAAATTCTAGAATGGACATGGATGAGAGAAGAAGCTTGAAATAAGAGAGCATAAGAGGAAAGAACATAAAAGATAAAAAAGAATAATAGAAATAGAAGACATGCTTTGCATAACTTACATAAATTTAGATCTCTTTAGGAACTCAAATACTCTTTAACATAGTCTCCTAGATTTGCTACATATATACAAATTACGGAATACCACATCTAAGGAATCAGAGTACAAAATAATCCACAGAGAAAGGACATACAAATGATAGCTATAAGTAGACTGTATTATAAATGATATTATATCATATTATATTATATCATAGCATATAACATATTCTAAATGATAACTCGTGTATGAGGATATTATTATTTTTTCTTTTTTTCTTAATTTATTTTAATGTATCAATAATCACTTCCATAAGCTTTTGAGTTTTTAATTTTTCTTCCCTTCCCTCCCTCCCCAAGATGGCTCACAATCTAATATAGGCTATACATATACATTCCTATTAAACATATTTTCACATTAGTGACGTTGTAAGTAAGAATTAGAACTAATAGGAGGAACCACCAGAAAGAGGAAACAAAACACAACAGAAGAAAAAAAAGGCAAATAATACGCTTTGATCTGCATTCAAATTCCATAGTTCTTTCTTTGGATGTGGATAGCATTTTCCATGAGGAGGACTTTGGAGATGTTTTAGATCCTTGTATTGCTGAGAGGGGTTAAGTCTATCAACATCAGTCATCATTCAATGTGGCTGTTACTGTGTACAACATTCTCCTGGTTCTGCTTACTTCACTCAGCATCAAACCATACAAGTCTTTCCAGGTTTATCTAAAGAATGCCTGTTCCTCATTTTTTTATAGCACAATAGTATTATTCCATTACATCCATATACCACATTCACAGTTATGATTACTATTTGTGTCTTTCTCTCCATCCTTTCCTCGCCCCCCCATTTATGATGTTCTTTCTCCTTTCTCTTTTTCCCTCCTCACTAATGTTTTGCTTTTGATTACCACCTCCCTCACTCCCAGCTCCCTTCTATTAACCCCCTCCCTTTTCTTTCCCCTTTTGCCTCCTACTGCCTATAGGGCAAGTTAGATTTCTATGCCTAATTGATTATGTTATTCCCTTCTTGAGTCAAATCTGATGAGAGTAAGGTTCAAACAGTGCTCATCTCCCTCCCTTCTTTCCCTCTGCTGTAATAGGATTTTGTGCCTTTTCCTGTGATGTAATTTACCTATGAGAGGATATTATTGAAGATATAAGTCATAGCAAAAAGAGGTAGCAAGGATGAAAGACAACAAATGGATATCTTAAATGGCACATTGTTAATAGTAAGAAATTAAAAAAATAAAAACATCACACACAAAACAGGAAAAAACACTTCTATCATGTTCTATGAGTCCTCTCTCAAGGCCTAAAAGAAAAGACACAGGTAAACACATGCCAAAATGAGAAAACAGGGAAGGGATTCAAAGTGAAATTGTGAAAGGACGACCTATACTAATGAAGTCATAAAACCACCCAAGTAAGCACTCTTAAATATATACAGTCTTCGCAAAATGTCACGTTAAGGATGATGACTTACTTATTTAAGGTTGGAGGCTGACTCTTTTCCCAGGTGAAGGATGCATCAGTAAACTCTATAGCATAATCTAGAAGTAATAACAAAAACAATGGGAAAGTATAGAAATAATTAACTTCAACTCTAGGGTAATACAGATTTTATAGAACAAAAAGAACGACTTACTTCCAGGATAGCAAGTTTCAATGTTTTCAGCATTGAGCTCCTCAGCATGGAGAAAGTCTTGCAAACGACTCAGAGATATTTTTGTCTGTTGATACAAATATATTTGTTTCACTTATTTTGTGTTCAAGCAAAATAGACTCCTTAATAAGCAAAGTATGTTTCAATTTATGGGGTAACACATACAACATTTACAGATATCCATACTTTTATTAATTCATTTATTTATTTATTTTTCATTATGAACCTAATCAACATCAACAAACATGAACATTTCAATATGCACAGAAAAACAAAAAAGGGTATGTACATGCAATTATGAACTTTTGTTGCATTTTCTCCTATCAAATGTGCTAGAAATATACATTGTCAAAGTTTCCATATTTAAAAGTTAACTTAATTAAAAAAAAGAAGACTAGCAATACATATTTACTTCCCAAATGGTGATTTTTATGTAGTAATAATCTAGTGAAACTGCTATGGAAAACAAGCTTCAATTCCAAGCAGAATTTCAATTCACTTATGCAACAGTACCTGGACTACAGCAGAGATCACCATTGGTAAATCAAACAAAGGAAGCCTCAAAATATTAAACAAAGACATAGATGTAAAAACTTTATTGGCCGTTAAAACATTCCCTTCGTCCAGAAGAAAATATACTCCAAAAGTGGCCAGAGACACCTGAAAAAAAGAGATACTTTATTTGCTTTAAATATTTTTTATTTTTCCTCACTGTATTTTTTTTTTTAGGAAGAGCTACCAAAAAGTTTGGCCAATGATGTTATTAGATTTTACATATACATATATACACATATAAAACATATATGTGTGTGTGTATTTACACATGTATATGTATATGTATATTCATCAGCTTGGACTTAGAATTACAGCCAATTAGTAAACATAAAAGATACATTCAGATCACGTTACTATTCTACTCAAACCCTTACAATGGACTTTTGGTACTGAGTAAACTTCAAGTGTCTTAACTTTTACGGTATTTCACAATATGGTCCTATTTATCTATTTTTAACCTTATATCACAAATTTTCACATAATATATACTAAAGCCAAATTGAGTATCTTACTGCCCCTGATACATGCTCGTTCTGTGCCTTGAAACATACTGCTCTCTGTATCTTTAATACTCTAATCATTTTTCTTCTCTGTTGAGTTCCTACTCATCTACTAAAGCACAACCTAAATGCCATCTTTCAGAAGCATTCAATAAATTCCTATATCAGTAACAGTCTTTTTCTCCTTGGATTTCATATAGCACTTTGCTGATACAACTCTCATGCATTTAGGATTATTGCAGCAATCCACTTTTTTCAATGGCAGGTTAGATCTCCAAGGTGGTAGTTCTTACTGCTTTCAGGATTCTAGAGATAGTCCCACACACATCCATCCTCCTAAGAATGGCTTATGAGTCATCATCATTGTGTTTTTCCTTAGCAATCAGTCAGGAGACTTAGTTCTTTATCAAAAGCATTTATCCAAGTGGTATAGCAAGAACAATGTTTATAAAGCAATTTTCCCTCTCCACTGAAAAAAACCTGGAGAGCACTGTGCCACAAATACACACAGACTCAGCAGGTGTTTGCTCGTCTAGGTAGGCCAGCACATATACTGTATGCGTAACATAAGTTACCAAATCTTTAAAAGTTTATTTGTATTTACCATCTCAATTGTTTCCAAATGGCTTCCTTGAAATTAAGCCACCATGACTTCTGCTTTTGTTTTATATTTCCAGTCATATGTCCTTTAGTGAGATCATTGAGAAGGTTTTCAATAGCAAGTTAGTTGTTCACTAATTTCCAATAGCAGACAACGAATCCCAGAAAAATCCTTGATTCGTACAGATTCTTTAGATGTGGCCAGTTGAGGAGGGCTTCTACCTTCTCTGAATCAGTGTTTATTCCTTGCTGTGAAACTATGTGGCCCACATACTTGACCAAGGTATTTTTTTTTTGTCAGCTCACAAGATCAGACCAACTTCCTTTAGGTATTACTTTAACCAGTCTTCCCACATCTTTTAGTCAAACAGTTCTTAACCTTTTGTGTGTGTCATGGGATTCTTTGATTGTCTGGTGATGCCTATGGATCCTTCTCAGAATAATGTTTCAAATGTATAAAATAAAACACGAAGTATTACAAAGGAAACTAATTATATAGAAGTATAATTATCAACATATATTTAAAAAACAAATTAACTAAGAGCCCCTATTCTAGTGTTTTTCCAAAGCCAATGAAATCAACCAGATATACCAACACTTGTTCACGTCATCAATTACCTTCTTCATAAGACATTGAAAAGTGGTAGGTTCCCCGAGATGCCTTGAGGTATATACATTCATTCATTCTATTAAATCTAGGGCTTTTGTTTCAACTTAGGCTCTTTGCTTAAAATAACTCCTGTTTATCTTGACCTGATATGGGAATATGTCCAATCTATTCCTTATCAACCCCATGACATGGTGTACTGGTACACGTTAATTTTCTTATTCAAATTTTGGTAGTCTACTCAATCCAGATCTTACTTGGCTTCTTTTGTGTCACTACAATAGATGATCACATGGGCTACTTGACTCAGTAATGATACTGTTGCTGAGTAGTTCTCTCAGGTGGTTTCTGAGATCATTCATCACAGATAAGGGAATCTTCTGGTACCTCTCTTGAAAAGGTCTGTAGTACTCAAGATGGATCCTATGAGTTGCTCTTTGGGTTTGTCTGGTTTTTTTTTCTTTTTTTTTTTACTTTCTACTCATAGAAAGAACACCTTTGTCCTCTCATGAAGCTGCTTCTTTCCACTTTTAGGCACTAGAGATTCATCAGTCATATTTTTCTATATCTATCCCTAGGTAAGAAAAATCAGTGTTGTGATAGCATTCTCTTCCACTGATAGTTTCTATTTTCCTAGATGTTTCTTCACAGGCTATATAGATACTGAAAACATTTAGGCACTGAGTTTCAGCTTCCTGATTAAGATACTTTGCTAACAGCTTGAATAAACTGGAGTTGGTCCCAGGGAACGTGGACACAGAGATATTCGCTGGGTCTGAAATGCCAAAGAAAAAGTATCCACTTCTCTGTCAACACCAATGATTTTTTTTTTTTTAGCAAACTTTAGGCTCATTCAAATGTAGCTCAAGTAGATTTCATCCTTGCCACTTAGTCGATAGTCTTAAATTTTTTGTAGTCTGCAATGGAATTTTCCTCAAATGTCTCTCATAGATATACTAGAACATGATTTTCATCTTCTACCGGCTCATGAGAGTCGATTGTTAGTTTTTTGCATGAATATTTATACTTCAGAAATTGGCAATTGCTACAAATCTTGGCTTGATTTCTTATTTTGCTAATTATATAGGCTAAAGAAATTAATGGAGAAAGTGTTAATGCAGAGTAACCTTAAAAGTGTGCCATGCATGCATTTTTTTCCCTCTGGAAAGCCAGTTGTTAAACATTTACCAGAACACCACTTCATGGCATCCACTGCCCAGTATAACATTGCACTGTACATTTCCAGTCTTTAATGTTACTTTGTTGCAGGCTCCCATGAATATAAGTGGAAGGGACCCTCGCACAACTGGTACCACTATAAAGTTCAGCATTATTGGGGCTGGGGCCTGGGAAGAGCTCCATCTCCTGATGCTGGTTCTTGGAATTTTGGCCAACTCTACATTCCTCTCTTGAGTGCACGTGTCACTATTGTGCCATCCAGGCCACAGCTGAACCAAAAAGTAGCTCTGGCATTTTGCTTACTCTTTGTAGGTGGTATCTTTGATTCGATGATCATAACATTTTGCTCTGTCTGTTGTTCTCTCTCTTTCAGGAGGCTTTCTCTAGGCACTTGCCCTTGAATCTGGGTGACTTGCTGATGGTCTGCCTCCAGGTTTCTGGTATGGTGGACCTTAGCTGATCTGAGTTTTCTTGGGTTAGATTAGTCTTCACAACTTTGAAATGATTTATAAAGTTGTTTACTTTGTTCAGGAACTGATCAAAGTGTGTCCACGTTCATTTCTCCTGAAGATGAAAGAGGAGTCTTTGAAGCTCTTGGGGGTATATTATATGCCAGGAAATTAACTCCAGGTTTCCTTCCTCAGATGCTTTTGCTCCTCTATCAATCTCTGTAGTTGACTATCCATCTAAGTTACAAACTCACAGGGCATTTCCCCTTCTTGATGAATGGTAACCTGATCTTGGCATATGCAGCCCATGGCATCAAATCATTCTCATAATGTTTTTCTAGCCTTGCAAGTATCTCTGCCATGAGACTTCATGTTTTGAATTCTTTGGACTCTGGATTTAGTTCCAAAAACTGTGCTTTTAAGACTTTTCATTGTCTTCTCCCCCACCATTTTACAAGTCTTTCAGTTCTGTAGGGATTCAGTCACATTTCTGAAGGTTATATCCCATGTTTCATTTGGAAAAAGAGTCCAAACCTAGGACTGAATTTCCACTATGGTGTCATAGTATACACTGTGGAGTGTGTCAGCTAAGTAGCATCTCTAACTGCTCCTGTTGTCTCAGCCGGCTTTCCTTTTAAGTTTGTGCCAAATATTCAATCCCCAGATATTTCCTCATTTGTTATTGTTATTATTATTAGCATTTATAAAATGCCAGCTATATGCTAGATGCTGTGCTAAGCATTTTATAAATATTGCCTCATTTTTTTCCCTTAAAACAACCCTGGGAGGTTCAATTATTATCATCCTCATTTCATAGCTAAGGAATTTAAGGCAAACAGCAGCTAAAAAACCTGCCCAACATCACACAGTAAGTATCTGAGGCTGGATTTGAACACAGGTCTTCCTGACTTGAGGCCTAGCATTCTATCCATCGTACCAACTGAAGGCTTAATTCTGGAAGACAGAATACCTGAAGAACTATGGACAGAGGTCAGCAATTTCACACAGGAGGCAACAAAAAACATCTCAAAGAAGTAAAACAGCTGTCTGATGAGGCTTTACAAATAGCTGAGGAAAGAAGAAAGAGAAAGGTAAAAGAGAAAGGGAAAGATATACCCAACTGAATGCAGAATTCTAGAGTATGAGCAGGGAAACAGAAGACAACAACAGAATGGGGAAGATAAAAAATCTCTTCAGGAAACTTAGAATTCTCAAGGGAACATTTCATGAAAAAATGGGCACAATAAAAACAAAAAATGGTATAGACTTAATAGAAGTAGAGATTAAGAAGTGGCAAGAATACATAGAAGATAATATTTTGCAAAATGATCTCAATATATACTTTTTTTCTGAAATACTGTGGCACTCCCCAGAGTTCCTTGGGTGGCTCTAGCCACATTTCTAGTAACTATTACACTAATAATGCAACATATATATTGCTCATATCAGCTTTTTTACTTTCAATACATGCAGCTCTAAAACAGGTAATAGTACTTAAATATTCAATGATGCAAAACTTATCTCAAAGGAACTAGTCAGACTTGTAAAGGAAACACATTAGGAAACTGACTATCTAGTTATGGTCTAGAATAAAAGGGGGAAAAAGAAATAAATTTTCTTAAGGGGAACCCTATAAAACTAGAGTATCTAAACATGAAAATAGCCATTATACAAAAATATATATCCTCTTTTACTTTTCTTTCCTTAGGACTTCCACGTCTAAAGTGTTATCTGACAACTCTTTAATTAAAAAAATGCAAAAAAATTCACTGTAGATACTCCATTCCAAGTAACTTAGAGTGGATGCCATTTAATCAGATGTGAAAAATGAAATAGAAAACATTACATAAACTCACCAAGAAAGGAATGCAAGTCAGTGTAAGCATAGAGAATACTGTAAGATATCCAGCTGATTTTTGAATTTCTAATTCATGTTTTCGAATTTCAGTGATCTTTTTCTGATAGGAAGGTTCCCATGCATAAAGTTTGAGAATCTATATGACAATTAATTCAGAAAAAAAATAGTGCACACATCATTACTAGAAATCAGTAGCTTTATATTCCAGAATAAATTGAAAGTTCAATTTTCTTTTGCAATTTACTTATCAATATTTCAACTTTCACAGACATATAATACCTATGTTTCTCCATAATGCTTCTCTATTAGCTAGTTTATTTATTCCTCCTCATACAAAGACAATAAACTGTTACCTCTGAGGTTTATGAGATATTTTAGCCCATTCCTTTGAAGCATAAAACGTTTTAAGTTATCTCATGGGGATTTCTTATCATTGAGAAGTAACTTCAGAGAATATCTAATCTATTTCCTAGTCTCAATCTATAAATGTTTTTAATTATGGAACAGATGACTATTTTATACTCAAATGTTTTAAAACCAACAACTTTTGTAAGTATCTCACAGAAGTGTTTCATGATTTTGTTTCTTAAGTCTATAAAAGCTCTATATAGGACAGCTCACCAGAGAGTTTATTGATTTTCAAGTAAACCTATGAATTTTCTAATTAGCTCATCAAATCACTGTTTCCTGGGAGAAGAGATATTTTTCCATTATAGTAGTATTGCTAAACGAAACAATATTCATACTTTGCTGATTTTATAGCTAAATGTCCTCATGAAAATCTGGTGAGACAAGATTTTCTCAGAATTTTTCTGTAACATAGGATTCATTTGTGATATGTTATGGACTTTTAAACTGGTACAAAATTATATCCCCACATTAGAAGTGACTTTTCTGGGGTGAAACCCATTGCTAAGAGAGAACCCCCTTTGGATGAGAATGGTTATCAAATGAGAATTTCTCCCACACTAATTTTACAAGTGTCTTCATTGACCACATAGATAGGAATAGGGATGTTTTCATTGTTATGGAGAAATTCTGATAAAGAAATTCCCTCTACCAATTCAGATCTGGGCTTTCTATGGAATTTATACTTTTAAAGTGCTACCTAGAGCACAGAGAACTTAAGCAACTTGTCCAAGGTCACAAAGCCAATGTGTATCAGAGTTGGGATTTGGACCTAGGTTTTCTGGATTTAACAGTAGCTCTTTATCTGTTACACTGCTGCTTTTTGGGAAAAAAAAGAAAGAAAAAGCTATGCCACTCTAATTCTAAAACATATTTCTTTACATATAATTATTTTTCTTGCTATTGTACTATGTTGTCAAAGAAAAACTACATAGCATTTGGTCATTAGCCTACATAGCATTTGGTATGATTTCTTTTTATGCACTACTGAGAATGACAATATTCCTCTTTTTGCTTAGTCCACCTTGAACTGAATACCTAAAATTGTCTGAAGCCATAATACTTAGATTGTTCCGTTTAAGACATGGATAAAGTAAGACGATTCTTCTAGTATCAAAATATATATACTTTTTTATTATTTCATTCTAAAAATATTGGCAGCATATTATGTTTTATTTTACCTTGATTCCCTGTAAGACTTCATTGAGTAGTTTTATCTGTTGATCTTTGTTCTTTGTTTGACTTTTCTATTTAATGGGTATAAAATTCCAAAAACATGTTAAAATATTTGACAAGAGTTAAAATATTTTGTTACATTTTCAATACGACCTTCAGTAAGCCTGAAATAGTGTTTTACACACATTCTTTTACAACTCATAGTAGTTTGATCACATATTTTATACTATAGCCTTCAAGTGAGAAACAGTCCTAAATGTACAAAAAGTCTCTCTCTCTCTCTCTCTCTCTCTCTCTCTCTCTCTCTCTCTCTCTCTCTCTCTCTCTCTCTCTCTCTCTCCCCCCCCCCTTCTCTCTCTTTCTCTTCGCCTCTCTCTTTTGGTTGCAAAAAAATCTCTAAACAAAGAGAAGTCCAACAAATCAGGTTTGGCTAAATAAGTTGTGACATATGAGTCAGTACTATTGTGCTCTAAGAAGGAAGGAAATAGATGATTTCAAAAATAAATGGGAAGACTCCTATGAATTGATGCAGAGTTAATTAAACAGAACAAGAACAATTTATACTCTAACATCAATATTAAGAACAATTTTGAGGAATTTTACAAAGTGATTAATGAAAAAATGAAAAGAATCAGGGGAACAATATATACAATAACAGCATCACCATAAAAATAATTAAAAAATAGAGAGGTGGTGAGGGGGTGCTATCTGTGACATACTGCATGTACTTTCAAATGAGATCACTGTATTTTTATTTAGCTTTCCTTAACAGTTTTCTTTGTTACAAGAGCCCTTTCATGAAGTGAGAATAATCCACAAATGTTTATAATATAAAAACCAAACATCAATAAAACTTTTAAAAACAGTTTACAACAAAACATACTTCCTTAATAATTTTCTTTTGCTTAACATTTTAATGGATATAATTTCCAAAACTGTTTTAGAGGAAACATCCAATATGGCCAAGAATCAATATGGAAGTGGGCCAGGAATTCACACTGAGAAAATACCTCTAAGCATTCCTTTTCCTTTTTGGGGACACATATTTTAGCATCTTCTTGGAAAACACTAATCTTCCTTTCACTTAAAAGTGATTTCTAATATTTTAAAGATCTGGAAATTTACTTCTTAATTAAATCTTGATTAAATCATTGAAACTAATTCATCTGTGTCTATAAGAAAGGGAAGTGAAAAATTGAAATTATCCAGAGAACTTCATCCCTAAAAGTTCCACTTAGAGAAAAGCAGAAGGTTTAACATGAAACCATCCCAGATTTATCATCTCTAGGGAGATAACTCAGTCTTCTGCTATTTGTCATTTGTGTAGACATGTCACGGAATGTCCTACCTTTAACGTTTTGATTCTGTTAGCAACTAATGCATTTAGAGGTATCACCAACACAAGTACTGCAATACCCGCAAACACAGATGGGCCCAGCTCTTGCCAGAGTAGCAAAATTGCCATCAGGATCTGCAGAGGTGCAGACCAGAGTATATTGAGATTTACAGTAAGGTCCATGAGTTGCTGGGCATCTTCTGAAAACAAGTTAATAATTTCACCAGTTGAAAATTTTTTTCGGGAAGAATTGGATAAATTTAAGGCCTGGAAAAAGAGAAATATAAGATTAAGAGTTATACTGTATGAATGACTTCCTGATCTTCCTAAGAAAGGAAATAACATAGAAGTACTACCTTTATTGAAACTTCCACTGAAACTACGAATAAAAAGAATTGAGACTGACTTCCTCACCACGACCTTATGAAACGTGTAGAATAATACTGTTATCCTCATTTTACAGATGAGGACAGTGAGGGGAGTATCAGCAATGTCACCCAGTTAGTAAGTCTTACAGCCAAGATTTTTGAACCTGGCCCAACTAACTCTACTACACTACTTCTAAGATATATATATATATATATTAAATTATATATACATATATACATTATATATAATTATATATACATATATATTACATTATTTATTATATTATGAACATTATATATGTGTGCATATATACATATATTTATTATTGTTGTTATTATTATTACATTATAAATGTTCTCAAGACTTCATATGATTTTTCTTATCTAATGATCCCTACTCTTAAATTCTAAATCTTTTCCCTAACTTTTGTCTCATTTCTGCTAGTACCTACTGGGTAACAAAGGTATTAGCTGATGAGAACACAAGATATGACTTGGGGTATTTAACTGTAAAAAAGAGATTGTTGAAATCAGTTGCTCTATTCCCTCTCCAGAAGTAACTTAATTTTTTATATTACTGTCACATGACCATAACTTGAGCCTTGAAAGAATTCTTAGAGATTAGAAATGAACTATAGAGATACATGTGTTTATGAATAAGGTTAGATAAAATTGGTGTTTGGTAAATTTTTGAAAATAAAAGTTCAACTTGCAGAATTTTTCAACCTTTTTTACAAAGCAATGCTGACTCCTTTTCCTCTATGTAATAGTTACACTAAGGAAAATAGACCAAGTCAATATTTATTATGGGGGAATTTGGGATTTCATATTTAATCTAATGCTTTAAGACTTATAGTGCCAAGATGAATGAGGAAGGAACCCTGTGAAGCCCTCCCAGATCTCTGCCCCCTCCCAAACAGCTAGAAAACTGCTTCAAAATTGATTTAGGAGCAGGGAAGCAGATTACCAGCACAGCAGGAAAGTTCTGTTTCACTGGGATGGGAGGGGAGCAAGGTGTAAGAGCAGCAGTAGCAGCAGCAAGCCAGCCTCATAGCAAGGGGCATGCAGCAAGGCTGTAAGCCTGGGACAATGCACCAGGGAGGTCCCACTCACCTGCAAACCAGCAGCCCTCTAGGCAAGTGAGCAGTCTGTATAGCCCAGCAAGGCCCCACCCCAGTAACCTCACCCCTAGCACAAGCTACCAGGTAGGGCTTGACCCCATTGCTGACCAGTAGTGATGCCCTGCCCTGGGTCTAATCAAACACCCTGCCCTTGGGGCCTGCCAGCAGAGAGACCTGGTTTCCATAGCAACCCAGCAACAGGGCCTCACTCCCGGCACAGAGCAGCAACAAGATCCCCTTCTCCAGTGCTGACCACCAGAAAGACTCTGTTACCATAGCAATCCAGCAACAAGGCCCCACCCCTGGAGCAGACCAGCAGCTAAATCCTAAGCCCAGAGGAGGCCAACAGGGAGTTCACAACCCCCCAGTACAAGGCAGAAGGGAAGTTTACCCTATAAGAGAAAGCAAGCAGCTAAGCCCTGAAGCCCAATGAAAGCCAGCAATAAGACCCAGAGCCACATCATAAAAAGCTTGGGACAGTGCAGGACCAGAGCCAAACTCTCACATAAAAACCCCAAGTCACAAAAAAGGCAGAAAAAAAATGAGCAAAAGCAAAACAAAAAAAAATGCTTGACTACAGTTATTATGGTGACAGGGAAGATCGAGGCATAAACTTAAAAGAGGACAATAGTGTCAAAGAAAAATGTAATTTGGTCTCAGGTCCAAAAAAGATTTCCAGGAAGAGTTTTGAGAGGTCTTTAAAAATTAAATTAGAGAAACAGAAGAAAATTGGGCAAAGAAATGAGAGTAATGCAAGAGAATCATGCAAAAAGAGAAAATAGCATGGGAAAAGATATACAAAAATTTACCAAGGAAAGTACCTCCCTAAAAAATAGAATTGGCCAAAAGGAAAAGGAAGTCCAAAAGCTCACTGAAGAAAACAGTCCCTTAAAAATTAGAATTGAATAAGTGGAAATTAATGAGACATCAAGATATAAAAAAACAAAATTTTAAAAGTAAGAGAAAATAAAAGAAATGAGAAGTTTCTCGTTAGAAAAACAACTGACCTAGAAAATAGATCCAGGAGAGATAATATAAGAATTACTGGACTACCTGAAAGCCATGATTAAAAAAAAAATAGCTTGGACAACAACTTTCAAGAAATTACCAAAGAAAATTGAGAGGATGCCCATCAATTGGGGAATGGCTGAGCAAGTTGTGGTATATGAATGTAATGGAATACTATTTTGCTATAAGGAATGATGAACAGGCTGACTCCAGAAAAACCTGGAAAGACTTGTATGCTGAGTGAAGTGAGCAGAACCAAGAGAACATTGTATCCAAAAACAGCCACATTGTGTGATGACTAATATTGATAAACTCAACCCTTCACAGCAATACAAGGATCTAAGACATCTCCAGAGGCCCTATGATGGAAAATGCTATCCACATCCAAAGCAAGAGCTATGAAAGTTGAATTGCTATTTTTTTTCTCTTCTGTTGAGTTTTGTTTCCTCTTTCTGATGGTTCCTCCTACTGGTTTTAATTTTTACTTACAACATCACTAATGTGAAAATAAGTTTAATAGGAATGTAAATGTATTGCCTATATCAGATTGTGCACTGTCTTGGGGAGGGTGGTGAGGAGGAAGGGGGAGAAAAATTTTAAACTCAAAAGCATATGAAAGTGATTATTGATAAATCAAAATAAATTAATAAAATTTTTTTAAAAAGAAAGTACCAAAGAAATCTACCCAGATGTATTAGAACCAGAGGGAAAAATAGAAATTAAAAGAATTCACTGATCAGCACCTCAAAGAGATTACAAAATAAAAACTCCCAGGAACATCATAACCAAATTCCAGAGCTCACAGAACAAGGAGAAAGTATTACAAGCTGCTGAAAAGAAACAATTCAAATATCATGGAGCTACAATAAGGATTACACAGGATTTAGCACCTGCCACATTAAAGAACAAGAGAGCTTGGAATATGATATACTGAAAGGTAAAGGAATTAGGATTACAACAAAGAATTCACCTACCCAGCAAAACTGAATATAGTCTTTCAGGAAAAGGAATAGATATTCAATGAAATAGAGGCCTTTCAACCATTTCTAATTAGAAGACCAGGGCTGAATACAAAAAAGTGACTTCCAAATGCAAGACTCAAGGGAAACATAAAAAGGTAAAAAAGTAAGAAAAAAGGGAAAACATAACAAATTAAATAAGGGGGGGTTAAATTGTTTCTATTTCTATATGGCAAGATAATATGTGTAACTCTTAACAACTTTATTACTATAAGAGGAATTAGAAGGAGTATAGGTAGATAGAGGGTATAGACATATAGTGACTTTGATGAGATCATACCCCAAAAAACAAAATAAAGGGGTGAGAAAGAAAATTGCACTGGAAGAAGAAAGAGGGGGGAGATTGAATGGGGCAAATTATCTCACATAAAGAGGCATGAAAAAGCTATTATATTGGAGGGGAAGATGAGGGGGAGTGGTGGGCAAAGCTTAATCTTTACTGTCATCAAAATTGGCTCAAAGAGGAAATAACATACACACTCAGTTAGATATAGAAATATATATATTACCTATAAGGAAATAAAAAGAGATAGAAATAATAAAAGGGGGGAAGGGGAATAATAACAGGGAGGGTATAATGGGGAAGATGGTGATCATAAGTAAAACATTTGTGAGGAGGGGAAAGATAGGAGGTGATAGAGAGGGGGATAAACAAATGAAAAAACATCATGGAGGGAAATACACAGTTAGTTATCATAACTACAATTATGAATGGGCTGAACTCACCCATAAAATGGAAATGGATTGCAGAATGGATTAAAAACTAGAACCCTACACTATTCTGTTTACAAGAAATATATCTGAAGCAGATATATACGGCAAGGGGCTAGAGCAGAACCTATTACGGTTCACCTGAAATAAAGAAAGAAGGGGTAGCAATCATTACCTCAGACAAATTAAAAGCAAAAATAGATCTAATTAAAAGATATAAAGAAGGAAACCATATCTTGCTGAAAGTACCATAGACAATGAAGTCATAGCAATACTAAAAATATATGTGCCAAATGATATAGCATCTAAATTTTTAAAGGAGAACTTGAATGAGTTACAGGAGGAAATAGATAATAAAATTGTACTAGTAGTATACCTCAACTTTCCCCTCTAAGAACTAGATAAGTCTAACCAAAAATAAACAAGAAAGAAGTTAAAGAGGAGAATAAGATCCCGGAAAAATTAGATATGCTAGACCTCTGGAGAAAACCGGATGGGAATAGAAATGAATGTACCTTTTTCTTAGAAGTACATGGCACAAAAATTGATCATGTATTAGGACATAAAAACCTCACAACCAAATGCAGAAAAGCAGAAATAGTAAACACATTCTTTTCATGTCATAATGCAATAAAAATTACATTAAATAATGGAAAATAGAAAAATATTAAAATTAATTTGAAATTAAATAATCTAATCTTTAAAAAATTGAATCAAAGAACAAATGATAGAAGCAATTGATAATTTCATTAAAGAAAATGACAACAATGTGACAGCACATCAAAATTTATGGGATATAGCCAAAGCAGTATTCAGGGGAAAATTTATATATCTAATTAGTTACATCAATAAAAAAAGAAAAAAAGCAATTCAACAAATTGAACATGCAACTAAAAGAACTAGAAAAAAACAAATTAAAAATCCCCAATCAAACACCAAATTGGAAATCCTGAAAATCAAAGGAGAGATTAATAAAACTGAAAGTAAGAAAATCATTGAACTAGTAAATAAAACCAGAAGCTGGTTTTATGAAAAAACCCAACAATATAGATAAACTATTGGTTAATTTGATTTAAAAAAGGAAAGAAGAAAATCAAATTACTAGTATAAAGAATGAAAGGGGTGAATTCACCACCAATGAAGAGAAAATAAGACAACTGTTAGGAGTTATTTTGCCCAATTATATGCCAATACATTTGACAATTTTAATGAAATGGATGAATATCTACAAAAATATAAACTACCCAGATTAACAGAGGAAGAAATAAAATACTTAAACAATCTAGTTTTAGAAAAAGAAATTGGACAAGCCATTGATGAACTGCCTAAGACAAAATCCTCTTGTCCAGCTGGATTCATGAGCAAATTCTACCAAACATTTAAAGAACAATTAATCCTAATACTATATGAACTATTTGGAAAAATAGGCAAAGGAGTCTTACCAAATTCCTTTTATGACACAAATGTGGTGCTAATATCCAAAACCAGGAGAGGCAAAACAGAGAAAAAAAGTTATAGACAAATTTCCCTAATGAATATTGATGCAAAAATTTTAAATAAAATACTAGCAAAAAGATTATAGCAATATATCACAAGGATCATACATGATGGCTAGGTGGAATTTCTATCAAGAATGCATGGCTGGTTCAATATTAGGAAAACTATCAGCCTAATTGACCATATCAATAATAAAACCAACAGAAATCTTATGATTATCTCAATAGATACAGAAAACAGCCTTTGACAAAATACAGTATCCCTATTCAAAACACTAGAGAGCATAGAAATAAATGGAGCTTACCTTAAAATGGTAAGTAATATAAATGCAAAACCACTAGAAAGTATTATCTGTAATGGGGATAAGCTAGAAGCCTTCTCAATACAATCAGGGGTGAAGCAAGGATGCTCATTATCACTTCTATTATTTAATATGGTACTAGAAATGTTAGCTATAGCAATAAGAGAAGAAAAAGAAATGAAAGGAATTAGAATAGACAGTGAGGAAACAAAACTATCATTCTTTGCAGATGATATGATGATATACTTAGAGAATCCTAGAGAATCAACTAAAAAGCTACTTGAAATTATTACCAACTTTAGCAAAGTTGCAGGACACATAAATCATTAGCATTTCTATATATTGCCAACAAAGTCCAGTAGCAAGAGATATAAAGAGAAATTCCATTTAAAATAACGGTGGACAACATAAAATACTTGGGTGTCTACCTGCCAAGACAAATCCAGGAACTATATGAACACAACTATAAAACATTTTTCATACAGTCAAGTCAGATCTAAATGATTGGAAAAATACTAATTGCTCATGGGTAGGCCAAGCCAATATAATAAAATGACAATTCTAGCTAAATTAACCTATTTATCCAGTGCCATATGAATGAAATCATCAACAAATTATTTTATAGAGCTAGAAAATATAATAACAAAATTCATCTGAAAGAACAAATGCTCAAAGATATCAAGGGAATCAATGAAAAAAAATGCCAAAGAAGGTAGTCTACCTATATAAGACCTCAAATTGTATTATAAAGCAGTAATTATCAAAACAATCTGGTACTGGCTAAGAAATAGAGTTGGGGATCAGTGAAATAGATTAGGTACAAATTTTGTTACACATAAAATGACCATAGCAATCTAGTATATGATAAACCCAAAGATCCAAGATTTTGCAACAAATACTCATTTTTTTACAAAAACTGTTGGGAAAACTGGAAAACAGTATGGCAGAAAGTAAGTATAGACCAACATCTCACACCATATACCAAGATAAGGTTAAAATAGGTACATGATTTACACATAAAGGATGATAGCATAAGCAAATTAAGAGAGTACAGAATAGTTTATCTGTAGAATTTATGGATGAGGGAAGAATTTAGGACCAAAGAAGATATTGAGAGCATTAGAAAATGTAAAATAGATAATTTTGATTACATAAAATTTAAAAGTTTTTGCACAAACAAAACCAATGCAACCAAAATTATAAGGACAGAAAACTAGTAAAATTTTTGCAACAATATCTCTGATAAAGACCTCATTTCTCAAATAGATGGAGAACTGAGTCAAATTTATAAAAATGCAAATCATTCCTCAATTGATAAATGGCCAAAGAATATGAGCAGGCAGTTTTCAGACAAAGAAATCAAAGCTATCTATAGTCATATAAAAATGCTCTAAATCACTACTAATCAGAGAAGTGAAAATTAAAACAACTCTGAGATACCATCTCACACCTATCAGATTGGCTAATATGATAAAAAAGGAAAATGTTGGATGTTGGAGGGGATGAGGGAAACCTGGCATACTAATGCATTATTGGCGGAATTGTGAACTAATCCAGCATTATGGAGTACAATTTGGAACTATGCCCCAAGGGCTATAAAACTGTGCATACCCTTGACCCAGCAACACCACTGCAAAGTCTATATACCAAAGATATCCAAAAAAGGGAAAAGGAGCTATTTGTACAAAAATATTTATAGCAGTTCTTTTTGTGATGGCAAAGATTTTGAAATCAAAGGGATACTCATCAACTGGGGAATGGCTAAACAAGCTGTGATATATGATTGTAATGGAATATTATTGTGCTATAAGAAATGACAAGTAGGATGATTTCAGAAAAACCTGGAAAGATGTACATGAACTGATGCATAATGAAGTGAACAGAACTAGAAGAACATTGTACACAGTAATAGCAATATTGTTTGATGAAGAACTATGAATGACTTAGCTATTCTCAGCAATAACAATGATCCAAGAGAATACCAAAGGACTAATCATGAAGCATACTATCTGCCTCCAGAGAAAGAAATGATATTGATTGAATAAAGACTGAGGCATGCTATTGTTCAGTTTCTTTCATTTTTTTCCTTTTATTTGAGTCTTCTTGTACAAAAATGACTAATACAGAAATATTTTACATAATTGCAGATAGAGGTTATATCTGATTGTTTACCATCTCAGGGATGGGGAAGTATAGAGAGGGGGGAAGTGAGGGATAGAATGTGGAATTCAAAACTCTAAATAAAGATTAATTTATAATCAGATCATTTTCCACTAAATGGGACAACAACCAAAAAAATTACTAAACATTATATTAATAATATAACAACACACACACCTTTAGTATTTGTGTATGTACTTTGCCTATATGATTACATATATACATATACGTATATATGTATATATATATACACACATATATAAATTTATCTTGGTGAAGTTGACCAAAAAGTAAAATGACAAATATTGACATTATTGTGGAAAAACAGTCACATTAATCAAGCTGTGAACTGGTGTAACCATTCTAGACTACAATATGGAACTATACCCCCATATAAAGCTGCATAGCATTTCACCCAGAAACACCATGACTAGGCTTAAGCCCCCAAAGAGATCAGAGATGGAGGAGGAAAAGGACCCTTCTCTACAAAAATACTTATAGCAGTTCTTTTTATGATAGTACAAAACTGGAAACAAATGTAGTGCCCATCAATTAGAAAATGGTTGACCAAATTATGGCTTATGAATGTAATGGAATACTATTGTTCCACAAGCAATGCCCTAGTGATTTTTTTGAACACATTAATGAATGTTTCAAAGGAGATACTTCCTTACATCATTACCTTTTTGTACAGCAGTCCAATTACAGCTGTTTTAATTTTTGCTGAGTTGAGCATATTAAAACGTTGATAAAGCTGAAGAACCAAAGTTTGCAAAATAACCACCACAAAAAGGGCAACTGCATACCCATAGCCGTTCCAAACCACGTCATGGCGATTTTCACAGAAAAGGATCATCTGCCTAAGTCAATAAACAGGGGGCAAAGGGTGAGATGTTAGCCACTGGTAGCAGTTGTCACAAAAGTTAGGTACTTATGTGTTGCAGTTTAATTGACAAATTCACAAATGATCAATTCTACTTTACCCACCCAAAACAACACTGGCTGGGCATAAAGGAAATACTGGGGAAAATTCCTTAAATATTGAAGTTTCTTTTTGTTATTTCACTCCAAAAACTAATTACAACTGAGAACTCATACTGCCTAATACCTAGTGTTAACAGTACTAGTTGGCCACACTATTCCTCAACTGCATTAGTGGACATTTAAATGAGAAAAGCACATTTTATAAGCCCACAAAAACAGAATAGGTTTCTTATTGAGATACTATGAATCAATACACCATTTATTTTAGAAGTTCATTTCTAGGTGTATAAAATAATTTATAAGTTATTTTACAAAATAAAAGTTCAGTGCTTCATGTTTGGGGTATTTTCTTATTTTCTTTTGATGTTAAAAATATGCTTTGTCATTTTGTCATTTTGAAAATTGTGTTTAGTCATGTGGTTCCCTTCACACAAGCAATTTTTTTTTTGGAAATAATAAGAAAAAGACCTTCTAGAACTGGCTAGCTAATGACTGGATTCTGAAAAATACAATATATAATTTTCCAATTCTTTGACAAGACATCCTGCTTAAGGGGCTAATCTCATCAAAGATCATGCTAATAATAAAACTGTAGGTTTTTTCATTTGTTTGTTTTGAGACCATGTCTCCCTATCTCACCCAGGCTTGAAAGTGCAGTGGCTGCTCACAGGTCCTGTCCCCCCGGCTCACTAGCAAAGATGCTATGTGTTATACCTGTTCCCTTCCTGACCTGGGCTTGACCTTAAAATTGGTGCTGGACTTAGTAAAGACACCCGATTAGCTTAGATCCCTGCATCTGAGAACTCTCATACTCAAGTGATTCCTCACCCTCTGCTAGTAATAGAGATTATAGGTCTACACTACCATAACCAGGTTGTTTTTCCTAAATTATGTGTATCATTTGGATGGAAACAAATACTGTACAGAAAATATTTGTTTATTGCTGACTTGGTTTTGTAAATGAAATGTTTTGAAAGGGAAGAATCATTATTCACAATTTATAGAAGTTTACTAATTTAGGCTTCTGCCTTTTCTGTGAATTTTGAAACAAAATGAATCAATTAATATTGAATTCTGACTGCTACTGTACTCAATGACACAAAAAACAATCAATTAGTACTAAATATCACAGCACTTTTAAGAATGTAGTATACACTCTTTTTTGATTGACAGTATTTTAAGCATATAAAAACAGAATAACTAATGAAAATAATAAAAACAATCTGGAAATAAGTTAATGAAAGCATTACTTTTGCTGTCTGAGCATTAACATGTTAGTGCGCAATGTAATTATTTGTATTAGCAGTTGAAATTTATAATTTCTATTAATTTATGAATCCTTCTTTGCACAAATAAAGCCTTAAAAGTTTGTGTCTATAAAGCTCAAGGTCTTGTGATGTTTTTGACAGAGCATGTGCTTGATGGGGAAAAAAGGCTTCTATTTTCATGAAAAAATCCTCAATTATTTCATATTGGATCAATTATCTTTGGGAGAAGTATAAATCTGCTTAACCCATATGTTGGAAGGTCATAGCCACCTTTTTTTCCCCCACTGACTTACACTAGGATAAGCATAGAAGGAAAGAGCCTAGGACAACAGGCATTCAGAGGACTATAAAATTGGAGTAGCCAGCTCCTAGCTCATTATTATTATTGTTGTTCAGGTGTTTAAGTCCTGATGGTCTTGCGGACTCTTCGTCACCCCGTTTGGGATTTTCTTGGCAAAGATATTGGAGTGGTTTGCCATTTCCTTTTCATTTTACAGATGAGGAAACTGAGGCAAAGTTAAGTGACTTGCCCAGGGTCATACAGCCACTGTCTGAGGCCAGACTTGAACTCAGGAAGATAAGCCTTCTTTTTTTCTTTTTTCTTTTTCTTTTCTTTTGGGGGGGGCTTTTAGGCAATTGGGGTTAAGTGACTTGCCTAAGGTCATACAGCTAGTAAGTGTCAAGTGTTGGGTCTGAGGCCAGATTTGAACTCAGGTCCTCCTGACTTCAGGGCCGGTGCTCTATCCACTGCGCCACCTAGCTGCCCCAAGATAAGTCTTCTTAACTCTAGGTCTGATACTCTATCCACTATGCTACCCAGCTGTCCTCATTATTCACTACAACAGAGGAAAACATTGAGAGAAATAAGCACTAATATTTTGCCTGCTGACAGTTATTAGTTCTCAATGGGACTGGAAAATGCCTTTCTTAACCTGGGTCATATCTGAGGCACGATTAACAATGAATTGGTATTAATCTTTAATTAAATAGCTGCTTGAAACACAACTTAAAAACTAATTTTTTAGGGACAGCAAATTATTTTGAAGGGCATCTTTTTTTTTAATCAAAGGGAAGAAAAGCAGGCTTTGTTTCAATTCAAAATCTTTTCATGATTTCTTTGATAGAATATCGTATGAGTCAAATATCCTGGAGAGTGGGAGACAAATTATAGAGATTAGAATTTTATTACTAAAGGTCCATATAGGAAGTTATCACTGGAATGCAGCCACTCCCCTCACAGAACATCTTCTTTCAATGTTTGCAGTTGAACATCAACATTAATACAGTTCATGTCTATCATATACAATTTTTAGACATCTGATAAAATATTCATATCTTATAGAAATAATCAAGAGATTTTTCAGCTAAGATTTATCATAGAATACTTAACACTTTATTTTAGTTATCAACAGATTAGGTGAAGAAACTTTGCAACTTACTTCATTATGAGTGGGCTAATAAAAGATAAAATGTCAGCAAACACTTTGAACAAAGCCACCTGAATCAGTGAAAAGTTAAAGGTGTTCCACAGTGCGTGAAGTAAAGATGGTTTCTTGGCCTTTGCTTCTTTGTGAAAGGAAAACTAAATGATCACAGAAAGGAAACAAACAAACAAAAAATCAAATCATCATTAGTTCACAATTAAAAATAAAAGAAAGCCTGTGTAAAATGATTATAAAATTAGAGTGAGCACACAGGTAGCCCCAAAGGAGGTCAAGAAACAGACAAAAGAAAATTATGATAAAATTTTAAAATATGACCCTTAACATTAGTATAGTTAGAACACTGTTCACTTCCATTAGAAACTTTTTATAACTGATAACATATACCTTGAAGACAGCTAGAGAAAGAGGTGTAGTGGGCTAATAGAATGACTCAGGTTTTAATTCCTTCTGCTACCCCACATACGTGAGTAATGACATGATGATCACATTTTCAAGTCAATATTTCTTTTTGTGGTGGGAGGAAGAGAAGGAAGCGAGGTCCACTGAGGTTGTGGACTTACATCTTTCTATATGGAATTTCTGCATGCAAATTACGAATGTGCAGTTAGGGCACAAAATGTCCTCCCTACCGTTGTCAGGGATTATAGACATCTCAATGGTAGAGATTGCTTTGTAAAATAACCCATTACTCTGGCTGAAAACATTCACCATAATAATGATATCTCATATTTGTAAAGCATTTTATTCTTTGAAAAAAATGCTTCTCCTAGTTTTTTTTTTCATTTTATCTGAACAAGTTAGTAAGTAGGTAGGACAGATTTTATGTCCATTTCAAAGATAGGGAAACTGAGATTTAGAGAGGTTATGACTTATTCAAGGTGACATCATTTTATTGGGGTGAGGATGCTTATTATTAGTCCAATAGCCAACCTTCTTCTCATTTCTTAGGATAAAATAAATGACATAACTGTCAGTAAATAATCTCTTAGGTTTTACTAATTGGTTTCACCTTTTGCTTCTTGTTATTTGTTAAGATGTTCTTTCTCCATTGCTTTTCAAAGATAGGACACACATTGTAGGAAGAGTCACTATCATTCAATTCAAAAAGATCCTCTCTTTCCAATGGTTTCTTGTAGCCAAGAATTATTATGCTAGAAAGAAAAAAAACTGAGGTAAGCACAACAAAATCTAATAATTAAGTTGGGTTTCATTTTTTAAGCATAAATTTATAAATCAAAGAATAATAAAACACGTTTTTCCATAAGGCACATGGGTTCAATGGGAATAGAAATTATAAAAAACAAACAAACCAACCTTAGAGGTCTACTAAAGCCATGGATCTGGGTCTCTAGTGGTATGCCCTTGATCTTGGCCCCACCCTATTTAATATTTTTTAATCAATGACTTGGATAAAAGCGTAGCTGAAATGTTTATCATATTCGTAGATGACAGCAAAGCTGGGAGTGAAAGCTAACATGTTGGATGACAGACATTATTCAAAAAGACTGTGGCCGTCTATGAAGTAGAACTCAATCTAAGATAAAATTTAATATTGATGAATATAAAATCTTAAAATTTGACTTTTAAAAGATGTACAAGATCAAATCACTAATAATTTTTGGAACTCTGTATTCAAACACAGATCTCTTAACTCCTAATCTAGCACCAATGCTGCCTTCTCAAGACTCGTTGATAACTTGCTGAAAGTCTAACTCATAGATTATGTCTGGAAGTGACCTTAAAGGCCATTTAGTCAAACCCTTTCAATTTAGAGATGAGGAAACTGAGGCCCAGAGAGATAAAGTGACTTGCCTAAGGCAATAAATGTCAGAGCTAGGCTTTGAACTCAGATCTTCTAAATTCAAATCCAGATCTCTTTTCCACTGTACCATCCTGCTTCCCTTTAGTGACTCCTGACATTAATCTGTATTTCCTCCCTCTGAGGAACTCAAAACTAGATAGCTATTTTCCATACAAATACAAGATATGGAACGTGGAAGCAGGGATTGAAAACAAAAGTGAGCTAAGGAGTGAGCTGCTAATGTCCTCCCTCTCCAAAAAAAAAAAAAGATCTCACATTTATTTTATATATACTCTTGAGTGTATTATCTCACTCAAAACAATGTGAACTCCTTGGGTAGTACCATTTCACTTTAACATTGGTTTCCAAACTGCCTGGCATATAGTAGACATTTATTTAATAAATGCTAATTAATTGACTGATTGATCAACCATAGATTTTCAACTCAAATGTCCATCCTTCATTGTGCTTCTCTAACTTTGAACAGCTTAAGTTCGCCCTAACCTAATTAGTTCTTCAACTGGGTCAGAAGTTATCTTTCATTATATTAAAATAAACAATCCTGTTGTGTTTTATGGTTAACAAAAGGGTTAAATGTTATGAGCAAGGAGCTCTAATGATGTTTCCCTTGGATATGCTAGAAATTTCCTTATAGGGCACTTAAAAAAAATTAAGCAGAAAATACTTCATGTCAGGTTAAATCCTTCTATTTCATTCCATAAAATACATATTCATTTTCAAAATAAAAGAGCATTGACTTTCACAAAGGCATTTTAAATAACATTTACCATCTCAGCATTTATTTAGAACTGTGCAAAATTCATCAGTTTTAGTTCCCATGTATAAATGACTCCTTGCTTCCATGCTGAGTCTCCAAGTAACACAGCATCAAAAATTGACATTTAAGTTCTATTGGTGGATTCCCACAGCTTAATGGCTCCCTTCTTCCTAAAAGGGTATTCTGTTCTCTTCTAGTGCCTCTTACTATCCTCATGACACTAATTGTTCCCACAGATTATTCCAGTGTTTTAGGGGGAAATACCACGTTTCATCTCATTAGTAACCTATACTGTCAATCTTAAGTCATTTTTTAATCTAAATCCACAAAATGGGAGAAACTTTTTATTAATAGCTCATCTTATCCGTCACTCTTAATCAATGTGTAAATTTCTATTGCTTGCAGGCTGCTGCAAGAGGGTAATGACAACAGTAATTAAAGATAATGATAGTAGAAACTTGTCTTTCAATTACAGTACTTTGTATTTTTAAGTGATTGAATATACATTCATCCCATTATATTCTCACAACCCATTACCATTTTATTTCTCACAAGCAATGCTGGGAATAGAGGTAAAGTTACATGATAGATGGAGAGTTGAATTCAAAGTTAGGACAGCCTGGGCTAAAGTCTCTGATATATACTGCCAGAAAGAGCATAGTCACTTAAACTTTCAGTTCCCCCAGGACAAATCTCAATTTATTAATTGAAGAACAATTAGTATTTGCCTATGTAGACGTTTTGTCACTTCAAATTCTCATTTCAATTCAATTCAATTCAATTATTTCAACACAGTAGGCATTTATTCAGTGCCCACCTCAATATCTGGCACTGTTCCAATTACTATGATTGCAAAAAAAAAACAACAAAAAAACCCCACAACCGAACAATTAAACAGACCCTGTCTCCAAGGAGCTTACATTCTATTGAGGTGTTCAGATAGATACAAAGCAATTTCTAGGGGCAGAGGCACCTGTAGGACTGGAGTTGGCTTCTTATAAACCATGAAATCATTGATCAGGAACACTTTCCCTCCAAATGAAATAAATAAACATATTAGTGTCAATACAAACAGTTCCACACCCATGCAAATTTTTAGGAACAAGTAAAAAAAAAAAAAGAGCAAGATGTGCCTTCAGGATAGTTCTAAGTTCCCAGTGTGGGACTATGGACTGAAATAGGCTTAGGAGCAGGGAGTATGCTCACCTTTGTGACTTTTTTTTTTTTTACTGTATCTTACATATAAAAGAGGGAAGGTAAAGAAAGACATGTCCATCTGATTCCAGAGCTCACGAGTATCTAATAGCAGCCTATAAAAACAAATATCATGCATATCCTAAAGGGAAAAAAAACCCTTTAAAATAAAGGGATTAAATAAATTATCTCTGCCACCTCTTTCTCCTTTCTCTATTTTGTTACCTCAGAGGGAAAACTCAATGTGTTTAGTGGAAAATGTTTATGAGCTTGAGATTGTTTTATCTGTGATACTTCTTGAAAATATTAGGAGACATCCCAAAATTAGGACTGGACATCACTACTTTGCTTGAGGTGAAATACATGTTTGCATAGAGATCACCTTTGAAGACTAAATCATCAAAATTAACTGTCTACAGAATTCACATGTAAAAATTAATTCAATTTTGCCTGTTTTATTTGAATTGTGTAGAATCAGGTGTAACAGTGGAAAGAACTCTGGGGCTATAGTCAGGAAAACCTGAGTGTAAATCTGGCCTTAGATGCTTATTAACTGTGTGACCCTGGGCAAATAACTTGCCTTAGTTTCCTTAACTGTAAAAAATGGGGAATAATAATACCTAGCTCACAAGGTTGTTGTAAGGATATAATATTTCTAAAGTGCCACTTCCCCTAAAATTGTTAATTACCTAGTCCAGTAGAATATAATATCCTTAAAGGCAAGAAATCTTTTAATTTTGTTGTTTTATCCCTAACACCTAGAACAGTGTTTATTGAATTGAAGTAAGCCCTAGAATTCAAGTTGCCCTGGGCTATCTTGCTCTTTAATTTTTTTTTTAATTTGTTCCACGAACACTTATTAAAGTACCAGGGAGATATAAAGTAAAAAAAAAAAAGGCCCCTGCCCTTAAGGAACTTCTATTAGTTTACAGTATGTAGAAGCAAGATGCATTTACATAAAGACGTTCCTAATTATGAGGATTTGTGAATGCATTTCCAAAAGAAGCTGTTGAATGAATCTTTCTATTATTATCTAAGTCAGATCTTTCTACATGGTATAACTTCTAAAAGGTTTGTTGAACCTTATGGCCAAATGATTCTACCATATCTGGACGTAGACTCTACTTAGATAAGAAAAAATAATTTGCAATAACAATGAAAGTCTAAATATGATTTCCTGTAATGCCTGAATATCACGAATAAGTGAGGAACTACCATAACTCAAAGATAATACAGAGACAGAAAAAAAATGTCTTTAGGATTGTCAATATATTGATGACTCTGGCTTTCTTTATAATAAACAATATTAAGATGTTATTTTATCAAAAATACTTAGCTCGATATTTTTATTAAGAATAATTTTTATGTTAGATTGTGTTGGAGCATGCCCAAATCACCTAACATAGAAGCACCCTGTTTCTGGCAAAGATGTACCACGTTTCTCTACCATGTTGTTTATGGAGTTGATTGCTGTCCATTGTTCTCTCAAAGAGGACCAAAATGACATCACTATGTTGGGGTCAAGGTACAATATGTCTGACTGTGGCTGATCACACCAATATGAGCTTGGAAGGCTCTACCATAGGTCGGGCACAATAGTTGTATGAACATTTTGAATGGTGCTGTCTCTAAATTTGTACATCTCAGGTTTCTTTTCAGCTACTGCACTCATAGATCACTGTGCCTTTTTTGATTGTGCAGCCAGAATAGGCTGTGTCTTTAAAAAAATGAGAGACTGGGACACTCAAACTCTTTCCTGATGTATTTAGAGACAGTGAAAGTTCGCTCACAGCACACATATCATGAACTTAATAAGTGAGGAGGGAAGGATTACCCTCCTTCCTTTCTCTCCTTTTAGGTCCTGTGACCCCAAGAAACCACCCTGTGGTTTCTGTTTGTTCTGTTTCTTTTGTCATTCTCAGTTTCAGGTGCAGGAGGCAGAATCCCCATTGAACTCAAAATCATTGAGCCATGGTAACCTCGGGACCCATGACGTTGCAGGAAGCTAACCTGGCAGAGAAGCCCTAAGAAGTCAAGGTACCTGGGACTCGAGCCCAACAGGCCTTTGGACTTGGAACTTGTGACTGTGCTACATAGAAACTGAGCCAAGCTGTGAATCGAATCCCCTTTGTCTCCCCAGGATATGAGATGGATAAGGGGGAAATTATACCTCATATGTTGGGGAATACATTTGTATATTTGTCTTTATACTTTTAAAGTAAATATTCCTTTGTAAAAGCTAACCTTACTGTTAAGTAGTTAAATGGATTTGGGGTGTAGGGGAACTCCTACAATTGGGATAACATAGTGAGTAAAGGCTAGAAACAATGGCAGAGAGCCTAGATACCCTTAAATCTCATTAATGGTCAAATGTAACACACCTGGCCTCCAGGGAATGGGACCCAGAGTACTCACTGCTAGACTTGAAATGCCATTTTCGATAGATTTTTTGATCATTAAATTGTATGAGATGGAATGTAGGTGCTACTTGATTTTATTTGTTTTTATAATACTTCTCTAGTTTAGATTGCAACAAACAGATTCATCAAATTCCTACCTGTTAAACCAGGAATATGTCATCTTACTGATGAATGAAGCATGTTTTTCTGGACTGCACTTCTAAAAAGAAAAATAAATTACACATGATGCAGGATGAAGTCAAAGCCTAGAAGTTATATTTGAAATATCTTTTGTGTGTTTTGTAGACGCAAAAAGAACATTATTCTACCAAGAATTACTGAAGTGGTTGATAAACTGACATGCATATTTTTAAATATATATATATATATATATATACATATATATACATATATGTATATATATGTATATATATATATATATATATATTTATGACATAACACAGTTATGATTTCAATTGATAGAGTGTTCCAAGAGTCTTAGTGCATTAGGACACCTTGTATTCTATGATAACATATATTATTTTCTTGGATCAGCTTCCATGATTCTGCATCAGTCCATCTTCACAAGTTTCTTTGAGATTTGTTATTTCTTATAATACGATAATATTTCATCACATTCATGTACCACAGTTTATTTAGTTATTCCCTAGGTAATGAACATCTACTTTGTTTCCAATACTTTGCTGCCAAAAAAAGGTGCTGCTATAAATATTTTAGTATATATGGGTCTCTGTTTTTATCAATAACTGTGGAATCTAAACCTAGTAGTGGAATCTCTAGGTCAAAGGATATGGACATTTTAGTCATTTTATTTCTTTAATTCCAAATCACTTTTAAAATGGTTTTACTGATTCATAGATCTACCCAAAATGCACTAGTATGTCCATTTTCTCACAACTGCTCCAACACTGACCATTCCCATCTTTTGTCACCTTTGTTGATTTAAAGGATATAAGGTAAAACCTCAGAGTTTTGATTTGCATTTCTCTTGTTAGTGATTTGGAGAATTTCTTTATATAGTTGTTAAGAACTTGCAATTCTTTTGAAAACTATAACAAAAATTAAATATTTTTTCTTTTGTAATTGCCTCTATCCCTTGCTTTTTTGAGTACTTCTACTAATAGCAGAAAAGGTATAGGATCTGCTTTTCTTCTAATTTTTTTTCCACAGAATTATTTTTAGTATTAAGGTTACATAAATCTTTTGAAGTTATTGTAGAATATGTCCTAAGATATTGGTCAATGTTTAATTTTTGCCAAATTGCTTTTCAGTTTTTACAGAAGTTTTTATACAACAGGAAATTCTTTGTAGGTAATTTGTGTTCTTTTGGTTTAAAGAACACTGGACTATTGAGTAGCATTGTTTCCAAACCTTCTTTGTCTACTCTATCGCATTGATCTGCTTCTGTATTTTAAAAGATCAGTACCAAGTAGCTTTTCTTACTGCAGCTTACTAATATGGTTTAAGTAGTGCAAGTGCTGTTTCTTCTATATCTCTACCTTTTTTATTACTTCCCTTGTTATTCTGGATATTTTGCTTCTTCAGATGAATTTTGTTATTATATTTATTGAGTTGTGTAAAATATTTCTTGCATAATTTATTTTTGATACTGTTGAAACTATAAATTAATTTGGTAATTTGAATGGCTATTTGTAGTATTGTCATTTTTATTATATTGATTACATTATGACTTTATTATATTTTTAAAAGGAATAGAAAGTTGTATATAATAGATTTGCAGTTTCATGTACAACCATCTTTTTTTCTGTTCTACTATGTTATGGAAACGTTTAATTTAGATTTTAAGTTCAGAATAAATAAAATTTTTTAAAAAATTGGCACAGCCAAGATATGAGCAGTGAATATTCCTTCTATTTAAATTGTTCTTTATTTTTTTAAGGAACTCTTTGTAACTAAATATATAAAAGTATTTTGTGTACTTTGATAAATTTATTCTCAGATATTTTATATATTTTGCAATTGTTTATAGAAGAAAAGAAAACAAAACTTTCTATAATTACTTCTCGGATTTTGTTGTTATTATATGGGAACTTTATTGATTTTGTTCAATTATTTTGTAGCCTGCAATTCTGCTATCGTTTTCATTAGTATATTTGATTATTCTTTAAGATTTTTTAAATTAAACCATTATGTTGTCAGAAAGTAGGAATAATTCTATCTGATCTTTGCCTATTGCTAGGCCTTTAATTTTTATCTTTTGTCTTATTGTCATTGTTAGCATTTCTAGAATTATAGCTCTTGATAGTGAAGAAAATAAGTATCATTGCTTTTCTCCTGTATTTAATGGCACAGCTTCCAGTGTGTCCATATTATGTATGAAGCTTGCTTTTACTGACCAAATATATACAACTTATGACTTTTTAAAAGGTTTCTCTTTGTCTATACTTTGTAAGAATTTTGGCAGAAGTGAACACTGTATTTTATCAAAGGCCTTTTCTGAATCAACTGAGATAATCATTTGGTTTTAGATATTTTGGGGGTTTTTCATACAATTAATTACATGGATTGATTTCCTAATATTGAACCATCCTTGTATCCCTGGCATCAATACAATTTGGTCAAAATGAATGATTTCCTCAATAATGTGCTATAATTTGACAGTATTTTGTTCAAAAATTTTAAATTACTATCCATTAATGATAGTGGCTTATAATTAACCATGTTTTATCTTTCCTAGTTTGGGGTATTAGACTATCTTGCATAAAAGAAATCTTATGGAGTGCTTTATTTCTCAATTTTTATAACAATTTGTGTAGTATTATTATTGATTTTTCTTAAAATATTTGATAAAATTCTCCTGTGAATTTATCAGGACATCAAGCTTTTTAACAGTTCTTTTACTCTGAGTTCATTTCTTTTTTTTAAATAAGATCTCTTTTTGGTCTTTTTTTAGATTGGATATTTTATGTTTTTTTACCCCCTCTATTTCTTTTTGTGTTATCAGTTTTGTTAGCATGAGAGGGATATAAAAATTTCCTTGTATTTTCCTATTACTGTGTCTTATTATAATTCAATTAATTTTTTCTTTATGAAATTAGATGCTAAGCCATTTGGAACATCTAAGTTTAATACTGATATTGGTTTGTTGACCATGGCTCCGTTCAGCACAATATCATTTCCTTGGTTATATTTCATTTTATGTTGTGAATCTGTTTTGTCTGATAACATCATTGCAAATATTGCTTTTTTGGATTCACTCAATGCATATTGAATTTTATTCCAATCAATTACTTTTATTGTGTCCATACCTTTGCTCTTTAGGTGTATTTCTTGTAAGTAAAAGATTATGAGGTTTTGTTTTCTTAATCTAATCTATCTTTTGTTTTATTGGATTAATTAATCAACTGACATATAAAGTTATGGGCTAGTATCTTCTTCCATTTCTCTGTAATATTGTTTTTTTCATAATTAGGTTTTCTTATTGTTGTTCTTCCTCTTCCTCTGTAAAGATAGTGCTTTCTCTCTTAAGTTATTATTATTTAATCTACTTTAAAGCGACTCTATTTCCATAGGTTCTCTTCCTTTTACCTCTGATCTCTGGCCCATCCCATTTGTCATTCCTTTCCCTAGTTTCCACATTTTATTTAACTTAATTCTTTTTTTCTTTCTTCCTTTTATCTAATTATCTTCTTCCCCTCTTTTTCCTCTCAGTTAAGTAGCCAACTAAAATTCCCCTTCCTTTCTTCTTTTTAAATTTTTTAGGATTTAAAAAAATTTTTCTGTGCCTTTTAAAAAAATGATCTCTCATTTTCATCACTGATTCTCTTCTCTTTCTATCTTCTAGATTTTCATCCCAGTTTATTCCCATTTTAGTCCCTGTATGCCTCATAGAATTAAAGTTTCCAAGGCATCCATTTTGAGGTCTTCCTTATAAAAAGTTTCTGTGCCTTGTAGATATTTTCCACTTACACTTCCCCCTCTTTTTGTTGCTCTTTACTCTTAGAAGTATCCATTCTTGTGGGAGATAGAGAGCCTAGAAGCATTGCACACAGCATACATTTTCATGTACCTTGATTGTGTAGTTCATTACTACCCTCCCCTCAATGATCATTTTATACCCATTGTCCACAAAATCAAGTTTTCTGGGTCCATGACCTCCCACTATTCTTGTTTTAAGTTGTTTTCAGGATCTCTGCTTTCTTCTACCACTTTTAGTGTTTATATTTGATATCAACCTTTTCATACTTGGGAAAATAAAACTAAGAAAAAAAATTTGAGTACAGTTGATTTCAATGCATTAGCTCTTTCCTTTTCCTCAATTTCTATTCTACTTGGATTTGATGGTGGGAAAAACATATACCCACCACATTTTAGAATCTCTGAGCCTTAAAATCTCCAGTTATAATATAATTCAGCACAATTATAATATTCTATTTCTTACTCTTCTCTGTCCTCTTCTGATATCTTCATTATTATTATGGAATTGACAAAAATCAACATTTTTGTATAAAAAGAACAGGAAGAGTGACTATGATGCTATGACACTTCATGAAATACAACTTGATTTGCAGAGAAACATGCCAAATGTAATGAGGTAGTTCCAATCCTGGGCAGTTAACCTTGTGCCCTTCTGAACTTCCTTTTGAATATTTTAAATATGATTTATTTCATGCTCTTTTATTACTATCCACCAGTTGGGCAGCTAAGTGGTGCAGTGGATAATCAGAAAAACCTGAATTCAAATGTGACCCTGAGAAAGTCACTTAACCTTGTTTGTGTCAGTTTCCTCATCTGTAAAATAAGCAGAAGGAAATGGCAAACTATTCTAGTATCTTTACTAAGAAAACCTCAAAAAGTTTCATGAAGAGTCAGACATGACTGAAAATTAGTAAAAAAAACAAAACAAAACAAAACCCACCAACTCTGCTCCCTCAAAAAAAGCTTCTTTTATAATAAATAATTGTCATCACACACACAAAAAACTACATTGGCATTATCTTAAAACCTATGTCTTATTCTACAGCTTTAATCCAACACCTCCCTTCGTAGAATGATTCATTATGAACCCTCTGGATTTCTTATTGGTCATTAATGCAATTGATCATAATTCCTAGGTCTTTCACAGTTGTTTTCCTTTATAATTGTAACCAGATTTCCACTTAATCCTGGGTGTTTTGGTATGTTAGATTTTTCCAGTATATGTCAGTGATAAGAGGCATGTGCCCTTTAATGGATGTC